TTTTGTGAAAGAAAAAATGAAATGATTATAATTTGAATGTGATATTTTGTCTTATTAACTTTTTAACTTATTATCTTTTTATGACTAAAATAGTCTCGAACTTACATGCTAAACATAGCCTATATAGCTGGTTTATCTAATTTGAGTGGAGTTTTATTTTGATTCTTATAGTTTCAATTCGAGTAATTTAAATTTTATATTTCCAGTTTTATTATAATAGTAGCGATACAGACCCTCTCCAAACTTTCACCCCCACCACCCCCCCCACACACGTGGGGGTTGGGAATTGGGAGAGAACAAAATAAAAAATAAAAAATGGACCAATCAAAAGCAAAGGGGGTCTTAAACATTTTTGTTATTATAATGTGAATATTCCGTCAATTATCATTTGAATTTTTGAATGGAAAAAAAATCATGTGCAACTCATGTGGGATTTTAGCAATTTCACTTATCGTTACAATTCTAAATGAAAAATACTGTGCAACTCATGTGAAATTTTTAGCAATCCCATGTGAGTTATATATGGTCTTTTTAACAATTTCCATACAAGAGTTTATTTATTTATTTTTTACTGGTGATTCCTATAGTTTTTTTTAAAAACAAATTTATTTTGCTTACTCTAGCTTTGCACGCATTGTTTTTCTATCCAAAGTGTTAAGCAAAGTATCACTTTAGTCCTTGTATTATCAATTTGAATATCATGTTTTTAGTTTTGTTATAATATTATTTCTCTGTTATGGCTGGATTGACTACATAAAATTCAAAATAAACTATAGAGACCACTGATATAATTTATTAATTTGTTTTTCTTGTGTGAAAATTACTAAAAATTTCACGTAAGTTGCACATGATCTGTTTAAGTTCAAAATTATAATAGTAAATGACTAATGGACCGCATTGCTACAAAACTGAAAGTATAGGATTTAAATTTAATATACAGAGTGACATTTCGTTTAAACTATAGAGAATAATAGTGTAATTTACTCAAATTATAAAATTTTATATAGAATGATGTGATTGATTTGGTTTAAATAATTCAAAAAAAATATCATGCAAATTAATAAATCTCACTAACTTTTAACAAACTCCAATGAATAAAAAAAGTTAATATATAAATTTATTAATTTATATAATATTCCTCTTTATGAAATTTTTATTGGTTTGGACTCATTATCAACTTTCTAGACAGAAGAAAAATGTTTACACAAATTTTTATCTTCTCTTCAAAGGATAATAATGGTCAATAGGACTTTAATTACTACAACTAAGCAAATTACATATATTGATGAGTTTTCTAGATTTTGCATTATTGTCAAGCTTTTGTTTTACATATTGTTTTAAATTTGTATTTGCTGTCTAGATTAATGGCATCCAAGTATTTTAAATAAAAAATCTAGACATACATTTCATTGGATAAGCATTACATTCAAGATTAAGCCACAACTGTGCTGCATAAATGCACACATTTAAACATTAATATTGAGAGTTGCTTTGTTTCTCCAACGTCTAAATTTGCTCTCATAAGCCAAAAGCATCTTGATTTTGCATTCCCATCATTAGGATAAGTCTTACATTTTCTTAGATTACATACTCTTCATTTTCCCACTTTTGCATACAGACTAAAGAAGTATTTGTTTTTCAATTAATTGGTGTCATTTGAGGCATAACAAAAAAGAGTTCTGCTAGAAAATTTTAAAATATTATTTTAAAATTTATTTACACCAACGTGACAAGGGATTAAGTTGATTTTAAAATAATTTAAAAATTGACGTTCAACTATTTAGTTGATTTTTAAACAAATTAACAATTGATGTGCAACTGCCTATGTTACTCGGGTGCAAATTTAGAGGATGACCCTTAAAATATCATCTCCTAAATTATCCTTGATAATGTGGATTATTTTGCATGTTAGTTGTTGATTTGTTTAAAAATCAACCAAATATTTAACCCCCTACCATGTTAATGTGGCTGAATTTAGAGATCTCTAGCATCACTTCTGTTTATCTCACCAATTTTTTTTATTATTTTATATTATCAAATTACATGATAAAATATTATAGTATTTGTCATTATTATTTTATTAGTATTTATTTTTAAATAAGAAATTAATTGTGAGAATTTACATAGTGATATAAAATAGTGATAAAAAATCAATGATATATCAACAATTTCAACAAAAAATGAATAGAAGGCTCTTTCATTATTTATTTGTATTTGTAAATCATCTACCTATTCATCAAGTGTGTAATGATGGTGATGCATTAATGTCACATACCATCCTATAATTATTTTCATTTTCATTTTGAAATTTATCTTGACATTTGAATTTGGTGAGTAATACAATTGATATCCCTCAATATATTTTAATTTAGTCCAACCAAGACAGCAATGAATTCATGACAATCGTATAAATCCGGATAGATTTTTTGGTTTTGGGCAAGTAGCATTGCACATAGATTAAATAAAAAGAAATTGAAATCTCTATAACTAGCAAGTAATTAAATAGGTATTATGTTAATATAGACTTAGTTGATTTTTGACATTTTACAAAAAGATATGCAGAAAAACGTATAAAAATAGAGTGAGTGATGTGTTAACTTATAATGATTTTTAACTACTAACCCAAGTCTCCAAACAAGACCTTAGTGTGTTACAATTTTTTATTTATTGTGATATCACATAAATAATATGAGTGGTGAGCAACTCCTACGACACTCTCTACTTTTTATTAGCTAAAATACGAAAAAAATACACTCTTTATTTTACCTAATTACTTTAGTTATTGTGTTCTCCAACCACACTTTTTATTTTAGCTAATCATTCAAACTAACTTAATTAATTTTTAAAACAAAAAATACTAATTGTTGATATTTTACTAATTTAAATTTGCAATAATAATAAATTTGTCCATACAAGCATACAAAACCTGTAGAATGAGGGGAAAAGAATACAAAATACAAAATAAGTTATTTTGTAATTCATCAAACAGAATTGAAAGAACATATAAAATTGCTACATACACATATACATATATAAAATCCCAAATCTAAGACATAAATATATAAAAATCCAAGACATATACATACATATTTGTTTGGAGAGCCTATGGGGCTCTTTATTGTAGCTAGCAAAAAAGGTAGGATGGTAAAGTAGCTAGCCTAATAGCCAGCTTGTTGGAGTCCAAAATTAGAATTATATTAGCTAAAATGCCTAACAAACCTTTTTTAACTAGGCCCTGTTTGATTTCAGGATATAAAGGGTGAGATTGAATATTATATCCTGTGGGGTCCACATATCCCATGTTTGCAAATTTTTTTTTAAAAAAGGATATAATATACTATGGGATTGTATATTCCCAAAAATTAGAGGATATACAATACCATCACCCCCTCATTATATCATATCCCCTTGGTTGGGATATGATTTAAAAAGTCCAATTTACCCTCTTGTCTATCCAACAAAATATAGTTTAATATAATATAATATAATTTTTGAATTTAATTTAATATAATATAATTATTGAATTGAATTTAATATTATTGAATTGAATTTAATATAATATAATATAATTTAATATAAATTTTGAATTTAATATAATATAATATTATTGAATTGAATTTAATATAATATAATATAATTTAATATAAATTTTGAATTTAATATAATATAATATTATTGAATTGAATTGTAATATGATTGAATATAATATAATATAATATAATATAATTTAATATAAATTTTGAATTTAATTTAATATAATATAATATTATGAGGGTAATCTTGAAAATTACTTGTTTATATCTCACAATATATTTTGTAAAACAAATATAAATGATATATATCTAGTCTTATATATCAAGTCAATAAATATGAATTGGGGGATATATTATCCAATACATATATCCTATTCATTATATATCCTGACTAAATCTCATATCATATTATATCCTCCATTTTATATCTAGTTAAATAAACATGGCCTTAGAGATTACATCTCTTAATATTTCATCCCATATTAACATTTAATGATGAGAGAGAGAGATAGAGAGAGAGGAGGGATAATGATTGAAAAGTGGGGTCCATTCCACATAATTAGGGATAGATTGAGAATCCTCAATTAGAACACTCAAACATTTTTTTAATAATATCATATAATACTCTCATTAGGAGCTTCTTTTCACTTACCAATGACATTAATAAGGAGATTATAAGAATCATAGATCCACATAATACCATGATATTATGAATAGAATTACTATATACGTTATGAAAATATTTGAATTATGTTTAATTATGATACGATACAAATGTTATATGATTAACTTTTACTTGTGAAAAAAATAATGTGACATTGCTAATACCATGGAGTCATAGTATTGGTAATTTTACTATTTTGCGAGATTAGAAATGTTATGAGACTATGAATCCCGATTTCATAATTGAAAAATGATAAATTAGATAACACAAAAAAACTCGTGCATTTTATCCGGACCCATAAGATATAGAATCCTAAACTTTTGGTGCGAGATTTCATTAGGCAGTTATAAATTTATTATAATCATTGAATTATATCTCAAGATTTATATATTTCAATTTTTTTATTTTTTATTTTTTATTTTTTACTGCTGCATATGCATCAAAGGAATTGGGAAGAAAATATAATTCAAACAGCTACTTACCAAAAAAAATTTATCAGAAATTATAATTCAAACAACTACTTACCAAAAAGAATTATAATTATAATTATTTTATTTTTATTAATTTTCTCCAGAAATATACCTCATCCAAACACAACTTACCTAAAATTTACTCATCCAAACACCTAGTTACCTAAAATTTGAAAACCAGAGACTCTTTGGGTAGCCCCACTAATCCCATGAAACAAACAAGCCCCACAAGGTATGGCCAAGCCTCTTTAAATACCCCTCCGAACCATGTTCCCTGTAACAAAAAAAACATGTTTTAGGACACACACAATCACACAGCTTCATTCTCTTCCCTGTAACAAAAAAAAAAATGTTTTAGGACACACAATCACACAGCTTCATTCTCTTCCCTGTAACAAAAAAAACTTCATTCTCTTCCTTCCTTGTGTTAACCCTAGCCATGGAGAGAAAAAGCAAAGGCCGCCAAAAGATCACCATGACCAAAATGGAGAACGAGAGCAACCTCCAAGTCACCTTTTCAAAACGGCGATCCGGTCTCTTCAAGAAAGCCAGCGAGCTTTCAATCTTGTGTGGTGTCGAGGTGGGAATCATTGTATTCTCTCCTGGCAAAAAGGCCTACTCTTTTGGCCACCCCACTGTGGATATGATCATCGACAGGTTTCTGTCCCGGGACGCTCCTCTGAACAGTGGAACCCACCAGCTGGTGGAGGCTCACCGGAGTGCCTGTGTCCGGGATCTTAATCTGCAGTTGAACCATGTTCAGGCCCTTCTGGACGTGGAGAAGCAGCGCGGCACAGCCCTAGATCAGCTGAGGATGGCCGAGGGTCAGGGCGAACATCGCTGGTGGGAGGGTTCGGTTGAGGAGATGAATCTGCCACAGCTTCATCAGTTTAAGGCTGCTATGATGCAACTCAGGACCAAGATTGGAATCCGCGCTGATAGGATTCTGCACGAACAGCCTGCCAATTCCTTTGGATTTGGGGTGGGACCGACTTCTTTTGGTGGTGGTGCTGGATTTCATCCAGGGCCGAGTTCTTTTGGAGGTGCTGGATTTCTTGCTGGGCCGAGTTCTTTTGGTGGTGGTGGTGGTAACACTGCTGCTGGTGGTGGTGGGTTTTTTGCTGGGCTTGGTGGTGGTGGTGGTACTTCTTTTGGTGGTGGTGGTGGTGGATTTCTTGATGGGCGGAGTTCTTTTGGTGGTGGTGCTGGTGGCTCGTCATTTCAGGCCAGAGGTGGTGTTGGCTCGACATTTCAGGCGGGCCCGAGTTTTGCTGGAGGTGGTGGTATTGGTGCTTTACCATTTGGTGCAGGGCTGGGTTCTTTTGGAGCTGGTGGTGGTGGCAGCGACAACAATAGCATTGTTCCATTTGATGGTAGGATTCCAGACACCGGTGGTTCGAAGGCTCCTTATGGATTTAACCATGGCTATGGTCGTGGTTTTTACTAGAAGCTCATATGACTGATTTATATTAATGTTTTTTTGACATTGTACACAGTTTTTCTTTTTTCTTTTTTTGTCTTGGTGATGTTGAACCCCATATTGGAATAAATTGACACTTTTATGTGTGTGATTGATATGGGCGTTATGAGTTTACTTTCAATTTCTTGGAAAATATTATATGATTTTTTCCTCCTGAAAGTAATTAATTGTTATCTCATTTATCAATTTTCTTATTACTTTCTCAGACAAAATCTATCTTAGCCAAATAAGTACAAGAAAATAAATTTTCTTTTCTCTTCACTTTCTATAATTTTCATTCTAATGAAATACACCTTTAATTTGAGAAGGAAAAATTATCTTAGCCATCTAGCATTGCTTTCAAATTATCTCCCTTGTTTTTTTTTTTTGGTCTTTTAATCTTATTTTTATATCTCAATGTTTGGGTCAGAACAAAGAGATGAAAGAAACAAAATGGATTTCATCAAGAACCCATCCACAACAAAGCAACAGTGAAATGTCTCTAATTATTGTTAAGATTAATGGTTCTTCAATTTAAAATGATGAAGTGTATTGATCTGTCATTTGTGAATATTGATACTATCCAAACTCCACATAATATTTACAGTAGAGGACTGAATGACAGATAGGAAGATAATGCATTCAATAAAAAAAATCTGCATTTATTTGTTTATTTATTATTTTGCTAGGTGTATTTGACTTTTTTTTGAATGGAGATAAACACTCAATATGCAAGGAACCAATCCAATATGTTAAAGACATGGATTTGTGATTTGATCAATCCAACATATATAGAGTTGAGTTTTTGTTATGTTTTATCTTCAATGATAATCTTATCGCCGCACAGGGCTGAAAAAAAGGGGTAATTAATCTCAAATTTCATGAAGTTTTACTTGTAAAGTCATTATGATTTCAAAGTGGGAAATGAACTTGAATGCTTTCCTAATAAAATGAATGGAGAATTTAATGTGAGAGATAGTTTGACATTGAGGTATTTAATTTGTGAGAAACTTCGTGGAAATCAAGTCATTTCATGTATTAAAAAATAATTCATAGAAAATATATACAGTTTCATTTTTTTTGTTATTTATTTATATATATTTTGTTTATGGATTGTATGAGGAGATTAAAGAAATATGGCATTCTCAAGTGTCAAATATGAATGTTTTATTAATTTCATATGGGACTGCTTACTTACATAAAGTTTACTTTTTATGTACCAAAAAGGTTTATTGAAGGAAAAAATGACGATTTATTGAATACTCTTTTCTCACAAATACCTGTTGCATTCTTTATGCCTTTTGAGAAATTATTCTAAAAGTTTCTTTAGAATATCAGAACTCCTTAATCATTTGATTATAGTTTGAAAGGCTAAAAAAAAGTTTTTGAATAATTACGGACTTGTATAAATTTTTCCTATTGATTTCAGAACCTGCAATGCATTTGAAGAAAAGCATTCAAGTTGACCAAATTGAGTTAATTTTTCATGCACATGACTTGGCAAATCTTTTTTTTTTTTTTTTTTTTCCCAATGCTGCGATGGCACAATTCATGAATGCAAAATGACTTGTACAGCTAAACAACACCTAGGTCAAGCCGATTCATTTATTTATTTATTTTTTGATTGGCAAAAATCAGTTTTTAGTTTTTTTCGATCAGCAAAGAAAAAAAAAAAAAAACTTTATTGATAGCATCAAACATACATATATATGGATAACATCAATAAAGCGGAGGCGAGCAAAAAGCATCAAAGTGAAACCCTTCATCCCAACTATGTTGGCACCAAGGGAAGCACCCAATCAAATGCTAGCTCAACCCAAAAGGGGTGGCGAGAAACCAAACCCAAAAAAACCAAAAAACAAAAAGGCAGAAAACTACTACAGAAAAGCAGATCAGAAACTACACCAGCATCAGCATCCCAACCTGGGACTTGCACCCAGAGTCTCAACACAACCATACCAGCTTCATCTGAGCCTCAACCAGAAGCAATAGCAGCTCAGAGTCTTAGCGTACTTGAACCTTAGCCAAAACCAATTCATAGTGCCTACTTGAACCTTAGCTTAGCTCACACAGGACTTGACTTGCAGCTTAGCAGCAAGCTCACCTTAGCATACTAGCAGCCCAACCCAGGACTTGCAGCCAGATTCTACCCAGCAGACCACCAGCCATCCACCATCAGACCAACAGATTCAAAACCATAGCATTCTAGCAGACCTTAGCATACTAGCAGCCCAGGTTCAAACCAGGACTTGCAACCAGCTTCTGCCCAACAGCAGCCCACCAGCATTTCACCATCAGACCAACAAATCAAAGCAGTACAACTGCGGTCCACCAGCAATTCAACATCAGACCAACAGCAGTCCAAGAGCAGAACAGATCATTGCATCCAGTACTTGCAGCCAGCTTGCCAAACCAGACCAGCAGTAGCACAACATTGCAGTCCAACAGCAGAGCATAATTAACAGCCAGCTTGCCCAATCCTTTCCGAAATGATTCTGAAATTGGGAAAGCTCTTGGTCTTGATTATGAAGGGAAAGAAGAGGATGTGATAAGCCATTTACAAGATCTAGAAACTCAAGATTTAGAAAGAGCAAGGACAAGGGATGGTGATGTTAATTAATCTAGCAAATCCAGGGGGTCCAGAGTGTTTAGCAATGTTTAATGAAGATACAATCACGGAATGTGAGAGGGATTGGGCGACCAGAAAAAAAGGAGAAAGGTTAAGCAAATTCTTGCTGAAAGAAGAGTGGATATTGCTCTACTTCAATTGACTAAGAAATCAGAAGTCAATTCAGAGTTGGTTAAGTCTTTATGGCTGGGTGACCACTTTGAGTTCATGTCTGTTGATGCAATTGGTAGAGCTGGAGAACTGCTTTGCATATGGAATCCGGATGTTTTTCAATTGAAGGCTAGCTGCTGCAACCAGAATTTCTTGCTGCTGTCAGATACAAATTTTCGTAGTTTTGAGTGTGTTATCATCAATGTATATGGTCCTAATGAGGTGGCAAAAAGAAGAGAGGTGTGAGAGTGTTTAATCAGATTAAAATCCATCTTTCTGGGGCCGTGGTGTTTGGGTGGGGACTTTAATGAAATCAGAACCATTTCAGAAAGGATTGGGTGCTTCAGACGGGATAGAGGGATGAGGGATTTTAATTATATGATTGCTCAATTGGAATTGATGGATATGCCCATGTTAGGAAGGAAGTTCACTTGGTGTAATTCCCAAGATAGAGAGAAGTGGAGTAGACTAGATAGATTCTTACTTAACCATGATTGGGTGCAAACCTTCAATTTCAAATTATGGGGTCTTCCTAGACTACTGTTTGACCATTGTCCCATTATTTTAATGGAGGATGATAGGGACTGGGGCCCTAGGCCGTTTAGATTTATTAATGCCTGGCTGTTACATCCTAATTTTCTCTCTTTTGTGAAGCAAACCTGGTCAGAGCTTATGGTGGAAGGGTGGGCAGGGTTCAAGTGTCTTACGAAATTTAAAGCTTTGAAACAAGCATTAAAATAGTGGAACACGGAGGTGTTTGGTAACATTGAAGCTAAGCTTAAAAATGTAGAAGATGAAGCTCATGCTCTTGATCTATTAGCTGAAGAAAGACCACTTCTTGCTCCAGAACAGGGTAGAAGAAAGGAAGTTAGGAGTGAAGTTTGGAGACTCAGTAAATTGTTGGAATGGACTTGGTTGCAGAAATCTAGAAGCAACTGGGCATCTAAAGGCGATAGAAATACTAGGTATTTCTACATTTTGGCTTCTATCAGAAATAGTAGAAACTCTTTGTGTTCAATTCTTGTTAATGGATCATTAATTGAGGAGCCTCTGGGAATTAAGGAAGAAGTTAAGACTCATTTCATGAGGTTATTCTCAGAATTTTGGAGTCACAGACCTAAATTATCTGGTCCTTTTAAGAACATTGTTGGTGCTCAAGTGGTGGAACAATTGGAGGCTGTTTTCACAGTGGAGGAAATCATAGAGGTACTCAATAGCTGTAAGGGCAATAAGGCCCCTGGGCCTAATGGGTTCAACATGTCTTTTTTCAAAAAAGTGTTGGGGCATTGTAAAATATGATGTGCTTCAATTCATGAGAGAATTTCATCAGAATGCAAGCTTGGTCAGAGGGCTTAATAGCTCCTTTATTGCTCTAATCCCAAAATTTGATAGCCCATCTGGTTTGAACGAGTATAGGCCCATTAGTTCGATTGGCTCTTTATACAAGATTCTTGCTAAGGTGCTAGCAAACAGGATTAAACAGGTGATGCCTAGGATAATTAGCGACGTTCAGTCAGCTTTTTTGGGGGAAAGGCACATACTGGATGGGGTTTTGATAGCCAATGAGGTGATTGATGTTAGATTAATACTTATAGAAGTTAGACATTTCCACTCTTGCAAAGTACTAAATGCTTGCCTCCTTAATTAAACTTCCCCTTAAGGAGAGTTGAATGTATAGATGAATGTGATTAAATATAAAACCATACATTATATAATGCATAATTTTTTTTTAATTCATTTTTTTTGCAATTTTCAATTTTCACACAAAGCAATACCAATCAGATTTTGATCAGTGTGTTGTGAATTGTAAATTAATTATACAAACCATACAAGTCCAACCAAGAGAGTAACCTATTCAGAAATATTCAATGCTGATATAATCCAAGAAAAGATTTCTGAAATCTACACAACCTGTAACAATGTCAAAAATTCTAGCAAGACTTGGGTTTATACTTTATATGGTAAAATGAAATCAATGGCATGATTACTAATTTTTTCATTTAGTTAGTGTTTTTTAAATAATTTTAATTACCTTTCAAATTGTTTATTTTTGATAAAAACATATTTATATGGTTAATTACCTTCAAATTGTTTAATTACCTTCAGGTATAAAAGATGTGAATCATTATTGGGTCCTGACAGGAAAGTGGCAAGGGAAGTATGGAACAACTGTGCACCACCAAAAGTCAAATTCTTTGGGTGGTTGGCTTGGTTAGGCAAGGTGAAAACATCCAGCTACCTCCAGAGAATTGGGATCTTAGATGAGGCTGCTAATGTGAGCTGTGTTTTCTGTCAAAATGAGGTGGAAACGGTCAACCATATCTTGCTTTTTTTCCCA